TTTAATTTTTTTAATTGTTTTTACTTTTACAAAATTAATATTATAAACTTATTGGTCAGAAATTATTTCTATGATAAAAATCATAATATTTATGTAATTTAGATGTTTATAAAAAAATTATAAATTATTAAATTCCAAACAAAATTATGTATTACTAACTACTAAAAAGACAATATTTAGTAATATAAATTAATTATTTATTTATTAAGTTATAAAGTCATAAGAAATATAAATTAAGTAATTAAATGTAATATACTTAACAAAAATAAATATCTACTAATATAATATAATGTTGTACCTACATTTACAGTTTATTTTTATAACAATTTTTACTTACTTCTCTCTAGCTTGAGCATCGGATGGCACCGCTGCGCTCTTTCCTTTTGCATACATCTCAAACTTAATATGGATATAGCTGTAGCTTCAAACAAAAACTGCAATTACAGCAGTTATGAAACTGGTTTACTATACAGGTACCAACAACAATACAAATTTCATCTTAATGGTTTTGCTAGTATTCACAATTTATTTCCCGAATCCAGAAGACAAATAGCACAACAGCAACAAAAACACGTTTTCGTTTAGACCGTTGAACCAAACTATGAAAATAATTCAAATTGCCATTTCGGATATGAAATTTTTGGTCCAAGACGCACAAGTAATTAACTTACCACGAAAAAGTTAAAATTCTAACTTTACAACGTACAGCAATTGGACGATAACAGTTAAATTAATTCGCAACACGGTAAGCTGAAACGATGAATAGTTATAATACGGTTATAATTGTTTTATTGAACGATGAACGGACGGACGAAACGAATACGAGAAGTGTAAACGATTAAAATCAAAAATAATAATAATAATATCTATAACACAATTTTTTTCCCTAGAAATTAAATCGATGCGGAGAAAAATATCGGTGCATTACGATTGTTCGAGGTGCGGGTAGAGACGTCCAAGATAGTTCATCCGAAAATGATAATAATCAAACATTGATAAATTGCCACAGTGTTGCCAATCAACCAGAAAATTGTAAAAACTAGTCACCTCCATTATCACCGGAATGCTGGTGTCGTTCACCGTTGCGAGGACGCGCGAAGAAGCAAAAAAAAAAAAGAAATATGTACAACCAAAATCATTACCTATCAAAATACGTACGTAAATACACTTGCGATGTACATGCCAAGGTAACCTATCAAAATATTTCACTCTACGACGTACGATTACCGTATATTTTAATGTTTTCTAAATTTGAAGCAGAAAACCCTTCACAAAACCTGTCATTCCATATTATTATGTTGAATGCGAATTTAATTTTGATTTTCATTAAGTTCGATTTTAGCACCAACCTATGATATTAATGAGCTTTAGGTGATCGGCCGGAACATGCATTTTAAACAATTGATTTAATACGATTAATAACCATTGATTATTAATCACACCTTATTTAAATCGTTGTTCCTATATAATAAGTAAGAATTAAATCACATATTTTATAGTTGCAATGATAAAAAATAAGTTTTAAAAATGTTTGCGAGCTTTTAGCGGTGCATTTTAACAGGAAGTAAATGTATCTGACGCTACCGTTTTATAGAAAACTAGATTCTTTAAAAATACATTAATAACCATTAATTTTATAATGTTTATTTGTGGACAAAAACTATAATTTTTTTTTGATTTTTGTCCTAGAAATGTACTTATTATTACTATAGTATTAATACGTACATTTCTACAAAAAAAGTGATATGATGATGTATTGATGTACTCGGAAACAATGTTTTTAAATATCTACGCCGTATTGGTTGATTTCTGTAACATAATGCATAATGGTATAATATCAATATTTAAGAGGCTCTGAAGTCCTATAAAGGTCAACTTCTTGAACAATTACGAATAACTTACCCAAAATAAATGAGATTTATCATTCTCTTATTGAAAACAAAGTAATGAAATTTTATTCAATCGATTTTATACATCAATTTTACTTAATGGGTATAATAATACAAAAATATAATACAAAATATAATAATATGTAATTAATATTACTTATAAAAAATAATTATATTAATTTTTTTTTAAATATTTATGAGTTTTCATATTTTTACTATTTTTATTGAACTTTTCCAAAAAAAAATGTTGTAAATCGTTTTTCTAAACTAAATAGTAGCTACACCTTTTATTTATTAAGTGTGTGTATACCTATCAACTACTATTTAAAATACTAAAATAAATAGCATAGCCAAAAAAATATTTTGGGAAAGTTTTCAATTTTCAATTCTTTCCTATCAACTTTTTAATTTTAATAATTCGATTAAACATTAGTTAAAATATAAAATGTGTTATTATTTAGTTTATTGAAACTGAATTAACACAATCTTCAAAAAAATTTGTATATACACATACATAAAAGTAACTTATATTTAAAAAATATTTGATCTTCTTGAATGCTTAACAAGTTTTTTAATACGTTTAAAGTCTTGATAATTTAATGATGTCACGATAAATGTATAATAATGCCAAATTATACCTATATTTTATAAAATAAAAGAAACATTTCGGTTGGAGGTAACCCCTTAACTTCCTTGGCTACGCCTCTAACTAAAATAATATTTTTAAAATCGACCACTTAAAATATTGTGCTGGTTTCTTAAATAACTAAGAAATATTATTTTTATCTCCTAAATTTAAATTTTAAATGCATCTACAAGTAAGATAATAATAAATATTCGTGTTTTCCTTATTTAAATAATTATAACTTACAGTTTTCCTGTAATTACCAAAATGTTAAAAAAAATGAATTATGTTTTTTTATGCCTTGTGGTTTGAGCATGCAACCAATTTCAGTTTTGTGAAAAGTACAGAAAATAAAGAAACAATTGTGTACCACTATAAATTACCAATGTTTTTAGAGCGGGGGGCAGAAAATTTTGTATTTCCCCTAACAGCAATATTTTAAAAACGGACCTGTATATAATATAAAGGACGTAAATATCATCTTTTATATTCAAGCGCTTTGAAAGTAATTATATATTCGATTAACTATTGGTTATTAATTCTATACGTGTTTATTACAAAATATTAGTTGGGTTATGGATTTACATGTGTGTGTACTGTTGTTTCTCGTTTACGTTTCGAGCTATAAATATTCGTTATTAGTTTATTACCATATTGCATTTATAATGATGTTATACATTCAAATCGTCTGCTCATTATTAAGAGGTTCAGTATTCATATATTCAAATTATATAACCTAAAGCGTTTAAAAAAGTATGCAATTTAATCGGATACGAGTACCTAACTTTGACAACATACTACATCAGTGTTATTATTTTACATAATTATGATCAGTGTTCGTAAAAAAAAGCAATATCGCTTTAAATAGAAAATAAAATTACTTAATATTTAGAACAATTACATTTTTAGTTATTATGCCAACATAATAACTTTTCTCATTCAACTGATTCAACATTTTATTTGCAAAAATCAAAAAAATAATTACTATATATATACTCGTATAAATTACCTACATTATATGTAGGTAGTTCTTTATACATATATATACAAATTACTTGGGTTAAAGTTATACTTTTTTTGATTTATTCGTTCAATAAGCTCATTAATAGTATCTTTTGCGGTTTCTTATTTGTTTTTTTTTTTTTACTTAGTATTGTTATATTGCTGATTTTGAATTACAAGACCAAATAATTAACATTTTGCGTTTAAAATGATATTTAAAATATCCATAATTTTAGATTCTAAGGTTAATTTTCGAATTGTATAATAGAATTAATCTAAAAGTTTCCTCCGGTATTTTTATAGATTATAGATCAAAATTACCTCACTAAGTAAAAAGTAGAGGGATTTTGTACTTAATAAAGTAATTTTTCGAAATTCTCAATTATTTCTATATATATAAAAAAAATACTTAATATTTTGACAAAATTGTGTATAATCTACTCACTTTTGTTTTCATAGCTTCATGACCACAAAATAAAAATTTAACAATTTATTATTATAAAAGTACCTAGGTATTTTGTTCGCTGAGTGAATCAACAAAGCGTCAGCTTTTACAGCTATCATTTTTTTATAACATTATAAGATAGGGGTGGGGAATGTATGAGATGGCAAAATGTGTGTTTCTCATCCCACTTCGTGGCATTATACTTTAACACGGCACTGGTTGTAGGTATTATGAGTTTGACGAGTGAGGTAGAAAGGGAATGAATATAATTTCTATCAATTTTTATCAATCGCTGTCTAATTATAATAAGATTACTACTCATTCCCTCGTAAAATTAAAGTCGCAGCTATTAAAGGATGTTATAACCCAAGCATATATCAACTATATATAAATACTGCGAGAAAAATATTTAAAATACTAATCTATCGTATTTTAAACAGTATTTGAATATTGTCCAACAAATAACAATTCTAATAAGTTACTCTATGAACACAGAAACTTTATGAACAGAACCGAACGTGAAAAATGTCATTGATCGATTTTAGAGATGAAAAACAATGTCCAAACATAATTAATAACACCATCCGACCATATTTTACAATATCATTTATAATGTAGGTAATAAATAACATGACACGTTACAAAATAAAACTTGAATATTATCTACTTAGATACGCCATGTACGGAGGTATATATATATATTCATACGTATGTAAATATTCCGTTATTGTGCCACCTAAACATACTATATTATTCACTATGGCAATATATATAATATACTTATAGTACTAATAATATTTACGTACTGAATTCGTTCTATCCTTATCTTTTTATCGAGTTTTTATTATCATTATTATTATTTTTTTGTTTATCCCCTTCCTCAAGTCACCTCCTCCACGTTATCAAGCGTACTTACGTATCGAATATTTTGTGTGTGTGTGTGTGTGTGTGTGTGTGTGTGTGTGTGTGTGTGTGT